AGAAGAGGTCAAACAACAATATAAATTAACTGAAATTATATAATTTTTCTATATATGGCTGGAATATTGCCATTTGGAAACTAACAAAGTAAATTAACACCAGATATAATATGACCTACCGTTTTCTTTACAGTTTACAAAATCAGATGAAAACTTTGGCAGCAACAAACAACAAGTAATAGGAGGTGTCCACATCCTTGGCTGCTGTAGAGACATTTTGCCTGCAATATTGATCCTATTAGTTAATGTTTTTGTCGAATGAGCCTGCTGCTGACACATCAGATCTTGAAAGTCGAAGTAGAGCTTTGCAGTGAGACAAATCGGTCTTTAGGGTGATCGTATTGACCCAAAAACGGAGAAAACAGTGTTAAAAGTCAAACAACGCTCTTACTTACCACAGTGTGACTTTCATCACATGTGCAATAAAGAATAACAAGACTGAAAAGGGAGTCACCATTCCACCCTTAAACAGTTTTGCATGAATCAGTTCATTCACACTTTGTTGTAAATGTTTTTGGTTTAATGACAGACCCCTTTCACAAACGAATACACCCTCATTATTTTTTGCTGAGGCAAACTAGGGGGCTTTCCCTGAAAATTCTTCTACACACAAAGCTCTGCTTATCTGGCCCGGCCCTGGGCCTGTGCCGGTGTCCAGAGGAAGTTCACAACAGTCTCCCATCACCCACCACCCCTACAATCCCTGCTTTTGTCAGGAAACACCGAACAAGCCAGCGGACAAGGCCTTGTTTGGTCTTCAGAGTTTTGCCATGTGCTGGGACTGAGGAAGTTCCTAATTAAAACCAGTCGCTAAACATCAGCAATCGCTCTTTCAATAGGTTTGACCACTTCCTCTTTCTGTAGATTACCATGAGGTTTTCCTTAAAGACCCCATAAAATCCCAAATGGAGTTTTGTGGCATTTAATTCATGTCTGTTTGATCTAAAGTCATCTATACCAGTGGTTTGGGCCGGGGTTCACAAGTGGGCCTCAGCAAGGGGG